CTCAGTAATCAATTTTGTAAATTTAATTAATGTCATTTTCCTGGTATTTGCTAAATATTTTGTATATCCAGCCGCGAGGAAATGTATGTTTTTTAAATTATAAGGTAATTCTTCAAGCGATTGTTATTAGAGAAGAACATATCCGGATATAAGGCACTGTGCTAGTGATGTGATTATTATTACACGTCATATTGAGGCGAGGAGGGGTTGGTGGACCACCGCACAGAAGTATTTTGACGACGTGCAATTTCTGACAATGAAAAGTAAGACGTCGATGTAATATTGCCCATGGTATGCGTTAACGTTACCGTGAAAGAGTAACATATACTCGAGGTTTCAAACGATCGTCTTTGTCTCTAGGATGTTGTCGACTGCAGCTGTACTCCGAAGTAAAAAAAAAGTCTCTGTCAATTTCCGATTGAGTATTAACCTACCACCCACTCGTACGAGGGATAAAACAGTCGAATGAAGCACCCACCTCCTCGTTCACTGCTCGTAAGATGCAGAGGCGGCAGAACGACATTGTGCATGGGGGCGAGATCTTGAAATCTAGCCCCTCCTGAAATGCTATTTTCTGTATTTTGAGGCGCAAATTGGGTTTCAGCTTGATTTTTCCGCCTCCGGTGCCGCCGCCACTGAGATGCCACAGAAACAGAATATGGACGGTATCTCACAAAGTCGATACTGGAATAACTGACACTCGCCTCGAGATACAGTGCCACCACTGAATTCGTGTGGTAGTCGCTGGATTCTGTTACACCAGAAGTGTCAATCGCAGACGAACTGTCACGTGCTTAAACTGCTGCAAAAGTGGGATTAAAGCTATATCGTTTTTTAAAATTAAAAATATGTTCTTAGTAACCCGGTATTTATTTCAATGAGGGTCAAATTTGATGCTATGGTTTTTTATAAATTAAATAATATATCATAATTGGTAATTGGAACAAAAGTCAAAGGTCAAATCAGTGTGCAATTCCTAAATGGCTTACAGTGTATAATTTTTTTTTATAAGTTAACACAATCTAGGAATAATGTTGCTTTGAAATTTCCAATGTATGATTATGTACATACAATTTGCTTCAAAATAATTCAGTTTATTAATTTTGGTTTATTTTACAACGTTCATATACACAATTCTGTTAAGATTTGTCTTAAACTGAATCCGATGATTTCTTCTCGAACACAGTAATTTTGATTTGTGATTAAGTGATTAAATAAAGCATATGCGCATGCGTTTAGTATTAATGATACGTACTAGTACTAATATTTCAAAAGGCATGTGCCAGTGCAAGTCTAAAATATCACGCCCTAGAGACAGGCGTCTGTTTTGACGACAAATGCCCTGCTATTCAAATAATCGTGTAATTTGGTCGTTTACAGTTTGTCATTTACAATACAGTAAATATTTCAAAAACTGTATTTTTATTGGCGCCAATTTACGTCATAGAAACGTCTGCCCCTTGATGGCGCGGTTTGTAGAAATAATATGAGGTTATTAAGAGGATACATCAAAGTATGCACGAAAACAGTACAGTGGCAGTATCGACCGATGCCCATTTCCTTATATGGTAGGATGAAAATACCCCATAAAATACCGCAAAATTACGGCACGCTGTAACTTACGGCGTTACGGTAATCCAATAAAATAATCCAATGTGTTACCGTGACCGATACGCGATATCGAACATAAATACTGTGTGGCCAACCCTGAAACATTTGACTGAGAGACAATAATCCAACTGTCAATTTCCCAATATTTCAAAAGGTCTGAATAACTATTCATTTACTTGTCAATATTAAGACCTTTCTTCAGCGGGTAATCAAGCATAATTGAACTTTATCAAGATATGGAGTAGACACGTATGTATACTTAGAATGACAGCAATTTATAGATCAGTGTCTTTAGCGAGTTTTATGTCAATAATCGCCGATCCAAACAGCCGTGTCGACAAAGGCTGTCGCCCACTTACGTAATGGTTTGCCTTTTAATAGCTCTCT